AGAGGTGACGGGGGGGGGGGGGGGGGGGACCCCCTGCACGCGGTTTGCGCGCAGGGGGAAGGGAGCATCGTTTGTGAGCCCCCCACCTCGGCCGCACATCGGACACAAGCAGCGTCTAGTCTGTGCAGGCGGCCCCGCGAAGCACATACTCGTCTGCTGGTGGGGGCGGGCATGAAGCTGCTGAGCCCTGATCCGCCTCTACTGGGGGGAAAGCCCTCAGTCGGTCCGAGGATGGAACTGGCGCGTCGCAAGGTCCAGCGGGCGGACGGGAAAATCTAGGGCACATGAACGCCCCTCCGGCACGATCAGTTGGGAGTCGGGAGGCTATCGGCCTGTTTGCCCTCCCATGCCGCGACCCACAAAGAGGCGCGAGTATATGGACATCGAATAGAAAGTAGGGATTTACAAGATCACCCGCCGTGACTTCTCTCTGCGGTACATGCGCGGACGGCAGGGGAACTTCCACTCGCCAGATCCACGACTAACAGCTGCTCCCGGGCAAGGGGCTGTCCCTGCGAAATGTGCCGGGGGGGAGGGGGCGCCTCACGCCCCGGAACCAGGCCGGACGCCTGAACGCCGGAGGGCATCTAGACTCCTGGCGAATGCATCGCCCCCCCCCCCCCCCCGGCCACTGTGGGGTCCGAAGGAGCGCCCCAGCGGTCGGCCCCCAGGCGCACCCCTCTCCCTCCTGCCGGCGGCCTCAAGTGTTGCCCGTTGCCCGTCGCCCGACCAGGGGCCGGGGAGAAACCCTGGGGACAAGTGGGAAACGGCGCGTTACTCGGCTTCGCCCCTTGTCCCTTGTCCTTCCTCCGGCGGGTCGCCCGTGTGCATAGGGCCCTTGAGGAATCTGTGTCGCCTGGGCTCTCCCCCACCCCTCCTGTGGCGGAGCCGCCGGCGCACCCGAGCTCGGAGCCGCCTTGCCAGCTGTGTGAGCACCTGGCTCTGCGGCCGCGGGCGGCCCCCGCTCGTGCCAACCTTGTTTTGATCAGTAGGCCATCGGGAAGGGAGTCCCACGATGGACCGTGCGTGTGTGCGCGCGCGCGCGCGCGCGCGCACGAACCGGGCCCCTGTCTGAAGCACCGGGGGCGTTCCTGGCAAACGCCCCCGGCGTCTGCCCACCCTAGGGAAGCAATGAAATAGGGCCATTCTGCTGGCCCAGAGTAACAACATAATCCATAATAGCATCGGTCACAAACTGCACTCTAGGGAGTGCAATTCCCCTCCTGTAAATATCTTTCACCGGGCAATTGCATTTTCTGAAACCAGGTTGCTGTCGGGCGTGCTTCCCCGCCCTCCCCCCCCCCCGGAGTCGCCGCCCCTGA